TAAATTTTAGTGCATAGATTGTACAAATGTGGATTAATTTTATTTCATCTGACCAAGTATAATTGATGTGCCTGTCAATGTCATTACTTCTGTTTTTATAGTATTTAGACAACCAAAAATAATGAGCCTAACAAGTAGTTTGTTTCCTGAGTTAAATGTAAACCCAAAGCAAAACTGCCTTTGAACTTAAAATAAAAGCTTTCTTAATAAAAGTCCTTTAAGAGGATACAAAAATCATTACTGATTTCTTATGCCCCTCCCAAATTCCTAAAATGAATTAGCAGCCTTACCAGATTTTGTAAACAGGAAATTCTGCAAATTATACCAAAAAAGCAAAGTTTAGTTCTTAGGTCACTTGCTTAAAAATAGTTTAGAACATGCATTATTTCAGCATTGCAATATTGGCTCAAAGAGCTTTAATATGCAAGACAGGATGTAAGATGCTTAGCTGATCCAAATGCCAGTCTATGGATTTGAAAGACTAAAGATCACATCACTAGAAGGTTGACAGAAGTGACACTTTGCAAAGTGCCAATGATTTATGCCAATGTCTTGCTTGATGATACTGTTATAGACAGCACTGTCATTAAAAAGTCCCTGCTGACTTCCTTCTACATTTATGGTGCACAAATTATAGGTGAGCCCAAAGATCAAATCCTTCCTGCCTTTTAGATTTCAATGATCATGTTACCTCTCATTAGGTTATTACGAATCCTCTCCTTCTTTCTACCTACTTATTGCTTTGTCTATAAGCACAGTCATGAGCAGGTAAAGAATGGAATTTATTCTGCTGAAAAAGTGAAAGACACACTTTCTGGAAATTACCACAGCAATCAACTAAAAGAGATATGTTTCAAGTCTTGAAAGTCTTTCACAATCTTCTCTTACTTGGAGGAAAACAAAACAGTTTTTAAAGAGCATATCTGAAAGCAAAACTCTAAACTATCAGGATTACCACAGGCTGACCTTCCATCACTGTGCGTTAAGGCATCCATTTCCGAAGCGGTTCTTAGGACAAGGAGAAAATGAAACTTCATCTCTGAAGAACTCTAATTTTTTTTCTGCTAAACTTCTGCCTCAAATATGCAAATATTTATGTTTTAGTGTTTAGAAATACTGTGAAGGCAATTTTTAGGTGATTTTAGAGTCTTTTTAGAGGCTGTTTTATCTTTACTTGGAAAAATACTCCAACTTTTGTGAATTATTTTCAATTTGCTAAAGTGAACTTGGATTAAATGAGCTGCCTGTTCTTTCTTCTTAAGAAGGGTTACAGTAGGTCCTCAGTATTTTCTTCTGAAATATCCGAGACAAGCCCAGAGACATTTCTATGTTGAAGCAATCACTTTTCATTTCTTCTTATCTTTACCTAACAGGAAAAGATGGCTGAAAATATAGTGTGAAAAAAGACTTTTCCTAAAGAGTTCCACTCTAATTCTCTCCCAACAGCTCTCTCGCAGCAGGCCATTCACATCTGCAGGTTCTGGACCCATGGATTCAACCAACTACAGATCAAAAATGTTCAGGAAAAAATTGCTGACCCCATGTAGACTTTTTTTCTTCTCATTATTCCCTAAACAATATAATATAGCAAGTTTGGCATTTATATTATATAGACATCATTAATAATCTGGAGATGATCTGAAGTGTGCAGGAGGTCTGTGCAAATACCACCCCACTTTACCTAAGCATTGTCGGATTTCAGCATCCACAAGGTTCCTGGGCTCCAACCCTGGTGGATACTAAGGGAGGGCTGTGTAGTCAGTTCACAGTGTTAGTGCTATTTTACCCTTATTATGCTATTAAACACAGATTTATGTCAACTAGAGTTCGGATTATACTTTAAAGAACCAGCTTTTCAGCTGGGGTGGTACATGCCATTAATCCCAGTACTCAGGAGGCAAAGGCAGGCGGATATCTGTGAGTTCAAGACCCAGTTTTTCTGAGTGAAACTTTTTTTTTTTTTTTGAGGCAGTCTTATATAGCTCAGACTGGTCTTGAACTTGATATATAGCCAAGAATGACCTTGAATTTCTGGTCCTCCCACCTCCATCTCCCAAGTGCTTGTCACCTTTGTGGTGTGTTCACAGGGTTTCATGCTGTGCTAAGAATTGAGCACAGGGCTTCTTTCTTGTGTGCTAAGCAAGCGCTCTACCAACTGAGCTACATCTCAGCCAACTTTAAAATTTTATGAAAAAGGTCAAAGAAAACCCAATCTAAGATAACCATATAGCAGTATTAAATCAAATTGACTATTTAGAAAACTAACCACATTTAAAATTTAAAAGTATGCATTACCTTGTGTTTACTGGAGGCAGCAGAGGCTAACAGCAAGGTATAAAGAAGATGAAGTATCAGAGACGTGAACTGGGGCTTAAGATGGTTCCATCCCCGATGGAAAACTGGTTGACGGCTGTATACATTAAAGGTAGGGCAGATGGTTACTTACAATGCCATAAGGGATAGGAAAGGGACAAATACTAATGCTTGCCCCAAGCCAAGCATAACTAAAATGTTTACTTATGCAGGTAGTACATTGACACATCTTCTTTACTAAAAAAAAAAAAAAAAAAAGTTAAACGTAACAGATACAGCTGAAGTTTTCTACACCCTTTGGATATTCTAAACCTTTTAAAATCCATTTATTTATTAGGAAAGACTGAGCTGTTAACCAACATAGGAGCCCAGCTCAACAGGCTACCATATATGACTGACAGGAAATGACCTGCAACTTTAGAATGAGATTGAACTTCTATGTACTTCTAAGTGGAAAGATTTCTAAGACATGCTGCTGAGTCAGAAACCACATTACAGAATTCTATGATGTCATTTACATAAAATGTGTTGTGTATATAAAACAATATTAACACCCATCCTTGGGAATGTTCTCATGATTCCTAGTACTTACATCTGACCCTATTCTTGGCCCATGTCCTTGGATCATCTTTTGATACATTTTCTCATATGTTGCACTATTAGTTTTTCACCTGAGTGCTCTGTGCAGAAGTCTCTGAAACACCAAGTGTGCACAGAATAAGCATGTAGTGAATACTATCTACCTTTTTATTTTAGACAGGGTCTCACTATGTAGCCCTGGTGATCCTGGCCTAGAACTTGTTATTTGGACCAGGCTGGCCTCAAACTCACAGAAATATCCTTGCCGCTGCCTTCTGAGTGCTGGGATTAAAGAAACACACCACCAACCTGCTTATTTGTGTGATATTAATAAAAGATTGTTTTACCACTGATAGAATTTTCATGACTAGAAAAAGGCTGTTGGTCTATTTTCCTCCTTGTAGTAATTAGTAACCCTTCATGATACTTAGCAATGATATACTTACTATGATATTATGCTACACACATGACCTGGGAGAAAAAAAGCTGGTTTTAAAATTTCACAGATCAGAGCCGGACGTGGTGGCTCATGCCTGTAGTCCCAGCACTTGGGAGGCAGAGACTGGCAGATTTCTGTGAGTTCAAGGCCTGTCTGGTCTACATAGTGACTTCCTGGCCAACTGGGGCTGCAGGGAGACCCTGTCTCAAAAAGACCAAAAAAAAAAAAAAAAAAAAATTTCACAGATTCAAACTGGAGAAATGGCTCAGTGGTTAAGAGCCTTGGCTGCTCTTTCAGAGGACCCAGATTCGGTTGCCAACACCCACCTGGAAGCTTACAATTATCTGAAACTCCAGTTTCAGGAGATCAAATCCCCTCTTCTGGCCTTTGAGGGCATTAAATATAATTGTGGTATATATACTTACATACAGGCAAAACACTCATATATATAAAATAAAAATAGATTAAATAATTTTAATACACAAATTGACAGTTCATACTTCTTTTTAAGTATTTGTTTTATTTTAGTATATTATTATTATTATTTTCTTTTTATTTTTTTGAGACAGAGTCTCCCTGTAGCCACAGATGGCCTGGAACTCTCTGTGTAAACCAGGCTGGCCTTGAACTCACAGAGATCTGCTTGCCTCTGCCTCTCGAGTGCTTGGACTAAAGGCATGCGCCACCATGCCTGGCCCTTTTAAGTATTTGTGTATGGTTGTGTTTTTACATCTAACATCAGAAAGCCTATGATCAGTAAGTTTTGTCCTGCAGTAATTGTAGATAATCTGAAAACGTGAAATGGAGTGATTTATTTGTAATCCAAAAGGACCATTCAAGTCATAACATTTAAGTGATCAAATTTGAGTTGTTATAAATGGATTGTCTACAAAGGAATTTTTTTTGTAAAGTGAAAAATCTTTATTTAAGCAATTTCACATGATTTCCTTCACTGCTTATTGAGGTTGCAGAAGTCCAAGATAGTCCTTTCTTAAACAAACAGGTATTTGGGGCTGGAGAGATGGCTCAGTGGTTAAGAATACTGACTGTTCTTGCAGAAGATCTGGGTTCAAAACCCAGAACCCACAAGGGAGCTAACAACTGTCTGTAACTCTAGTTCCAGGGGATCCAAAAACCTCTTCTGTCTTCCATGGGCATTGCACGACATGGGTGCACTTACCTACATGCAGGCAATACACGCATATACATGAAATGAAAATAATAAATAAAATATTTTTTAAAAAAGAAACAGGTATTTCTTAATCTGGTTGTGCTGTCAGCCCACAGTTTTTATGTCTCTGTGAAGGACATATTCATGGTAACTTCAACGTTCTTCACCTTAGATCTTTGGCATCCAATTTCTTGAAACCGTTTACGTTAGGAACCATTTGATTAATGTGCTTCTCAGTTGCTGACACCCTAGAAAACAGTAGACAGTACTCAGGAGCCTGAACCAGTATAAGAGAATTCACAAAGACTATCAGGGTGGGAAAGATTAAGAAATCAACAGATTAAGGCACTTGTAACCAAGCCTAAAGACCTGCGTTTGATCACTCAGACCAAACAGGAGAGAACTTCTGTAAGTCACACTCTGACCTCCACGGGGGCAACCTCTTCCACATCCTCCCGCAATACATATAATTAATATAAAATAAAATGGAAAATAGGCAACTGTAGCAATAGAAATACCAGATTTAATAGGCACCACAGCCAAGAAAGCCAACAATGCCGGATAGTGAATTTCTATCACACTGTTCTTTGAACATACCAGCAGGCATGAACTGCTGAGCGCAGGTTCCATGCAATGCATTCTGATGGGATTTTTTTAACTAATCCTCAAATTTACCCTTTCTCTGCCTTTCATATTGTATTATTTCATGTAGAATATAGCCAAACCTTCTTAGCTGTAATGTGGCCTCAGTCAATAATTTCCCAATTCCATCTCTAGCTCTTCCCCAACACATCACATGTTCCCATTGCACCATGTTTTCTTCTCAGAAAGTCTTGGCTTTTGTTGATCTCTGTGCCCAGAAGGGCTTATCATTTTTGTCGCAAAGTCCCATGGATCCCTAAGGCCCACCCCCAATGTCACCTGCCCAGTGAAGCCTTCCTTGCCCCAAGCAAAGTAAGTAACTGAGTGCTTTGCACTGTTCTCCTCAACAGGGTTCATTTCCTGACAGTGTTTGCCTTTTTATTAGATTCCCGTGTGTTCTGCCACTGAGCCATGTACGTGCTCATCTGATTCTGACTTCTGAGTGGTAGGGGCCATATTTTCTTCATACTCAGGTTTGGGCACCTAGCTATCTTAAATAGGTGATCATTAAATGTTTGTGAAATTAATGATTGTGCGTGTGTGTGTGTGTGTGTGTGTGTGTGTGTGCGTGGTTTGTTTTTGTTACCTGAAACAGAACTCTGTGCAGCTATCCCAGATAGCTCATGTCTGCAGAGGAGGCATAAGCCACTCAATGGTCCCAAATGGGCCTAAATGTACACTACTGGGAAGTCTGTCCTGCCCTGGCCAGGGAACAGGAAGTTCACAGAAACAATTTGTTTCTTTGAAAATGCTTTTCTCTGTACACAAAGGGTCTTAGTTAACAGCCTTAAAGACAGAAATTCTTTATTCCAGATGCATTACTGGCATGGAAAGAAAAATGACCTCAGAATATTAGTGGCAAAAACGTAAGCTTTCTTTCATTTAAAATAAAAACAATGGAGAAAACTAAATGAAGAAAAGGAGCCAAGAAAAAGAATCTCAAGTTATCTCTAAATTAAACAAGTTCCCTCCACTTTTCTGACTGCCTAAAAACAAAAAGCAATAGAAATAGCAGAAATCGCATTTCCCCTCTTATATACCCCTCTCTCTCTCACATTCTTTCTTTCCATTCTTTGATACTAGATATTGAACTAGGGTCTTGAATATGCTAGGCAAGTGTTCTAGCACTGAGCTACACCCCCAGCCCTCTTTTTGCTTTTTTGTTTTAGAGACAGGATCTTACCAAGTTGCCCATGCTGGTCTTAAATTTATTATATAGTCCAAGTAGGCCTTGAACTTCTGATCCTCCTGCCCCTGCCTCCCAAGTAGCTGAGATTACAGGCAGCCACCATCAAGTCAAGCTGTAGTCTACTCTTAAGAAGAATACAGGTGGGGCTGGAGAGATGGCTCAGTACTTAAGAGCACTGGCTGCTCTTGCAGAGGACCTAGGTTCCAAATCCTAGCACCCACATGGCAGCTAACAACTGTCCTAACTCCAGTTCCAGGGGATTCAATGCCTTCTTCTGACCTCCGAGGGCATTGCATGACATGGGTGTACTCACATATATGCAGACAATACACTCATACACATAAAATAAAAACAATAACATACTTTTTTTTTTTAAAAAAAAGAAGAGTACAGGTAAACAGTTTCCTCCATGGACCCCTCAAGGTCCCTGAGAGATATCAAGGGCTACTAAGTGCACAAAGAAGCTTCACTCCTACCACCCAGGGCCTCTGCTACCTTTGCTTACTGCAAGTGCACTCTAAAGTGTTTGGGAACACTTGGAGATTCTGCTCCAATCTCTTCAAAAATTTTTATTTCACTTACTTATCTATTTGTGGGTAGGTGGGTTGGTGGGTGCAGAAATCAGAGAACAATTTGCAGTAGTTGGTCTCTCCTTCAACTGTGTGGGGCCAGAGATCAAACTCAGGTCGGCAGGCTTGGCAGCAAGCCCCATCACCACCGCCTTGCAATCACTTCTGTGTATAAGTATCACCAGCTGTTCCCAGTGTAAGAATAGCTTCCAAGAATATCTGCCTTCTATTGTGTTAACCATCAGGTGTCATGAGATGAAGGTTCACAGCCTTGGCTTTTGCCTTGCTTGGCTAGCATGGTGGTAGACAGCACACACTGGTCTTCAGTTACACTTGCACCATATCCTGTCCTTTGCTCTTTCCTATTCCTTCCCCAAGTCATACCTTCTTATTTCCTCCAATAAAAATCCTAAACATTCTTTAGAACCCAATCAAATGCCATCTCCTCAGCAAAGGCATCCCAAGTAGGCAACAGATATCGTCACCCTCTCTATCCATTTTCCACTCTATGGCTTTTTGTCTGAGTCTCTATTTAAAAACAAACAAGCAAACACTGAATTTGTAAACCTGTTTATCTCTTTCACGCTAGATTATGAATTCTTTAATGTCTTAATTAATTTGTATTTCCCACAGCATCAAACAATGTCACACAATGGTACCTAGAAAATGTTACATGAACTTAATTTTCTAAATTGTTCTGCTTTTTTGTTAACAGGAAGCCAGATCCATTTATTTGTATTATCCACTGTTTCACAGACATATATGCAAATATATCATGGATAAATAAACAGTTAAAAAATCTAGTAATCTTTGTGGCTTTATAAAATGAAGTTCTAGGTAGTAAGTTAATCTTTGCAAGACTAAGGGCTTAAAGAAGACAGTAAAGACCATTGAAGGTCATAATTTGCATATTGATCTAACTGTATGCTTATTCTTAGAAGCACATAATTAACTTTGCTTTTATTGAATTTTGGTTCTAAACCAATTTTATTAGTTATAGTTTCACTGGTAATTTCAGTGAAGTATGAGGGACAGATCTTAGTTAAGATGGCACATGTACTACGAGAACAGATTTAATCCATACTGAACATATTGCTTTGCAGGCATTGAGTTTGATAAATAGCTATGTTCTGTTCTGCCTTTATAATATTTCTTAGAGCATGAAGTATTACATGGTTGACACTAAATTTAGTCTAAAAGTTATCATACAGAAGAGATCCACATATAAGCCATAATTAGACACATTATAAAGCTGTAATCCTGTGTGAAGTCAAGAGAATTAATTGTAATAGCACAGTCCTCTCTGCAAGCACTGGAAGATTTAAAAATGTAATTCCTATAATCAGTAACAGCAGCAGAGAGTGCACTGACTTGGGATTCCAAGGACTGACACTGAATCCTGGCTGTGCCATTTATTAGTCTTATGAGTTTGAGCAAGATAGTTCAATTTTATAGCTCTCAATATTCACACGTATGAAGTGGAGATAATGACATTCAATATTAATATCTGCTCTGTCCCTTATAAGTCTGTTTTGAGTAATCAAAAGAACTTATTCATTGATTTATAATATTTACTACTAGCTCCTATCCAAGATAAAAGATATTAAAGAGATTTTTAAATTTCAAAGCCCTATATGATTTGAAAGGAAATTGTTTGATTTGAGACATTATTTTATGTGGAATACTTAATATTAAAATGAGAAACAAATGTGAAACTTTTGGTATCTTCTTGTTTTCTGCTTAGGAAAAAACCCACTATTTTTATTGCTAGAACTCCTTGTTCCCATGGTTTAGGCAAAAGACAAGCATGTCAATTAACTTTAACCCACCAATGCTAAACCCATCCTACAGATGTGGGAAATTCTATGCGTATGCACATACATGCTCACTATATGTGTTTTATATATGGACATATATGTGTGTGCATGTGTATACACATACATCTTGCTGTCAAATCCCAGGCCCCAGGAGCTGCACCTAGCTGAATTCTAAGGCAGCTGCTACCATGGGATTAGTTTGGACCTGGATTGCTCCATCAGTTCCATCCAGGATACCCTGGGAAACTTAGAACATCAACTACTGAGAGAGAGGGGGAGAGAGAGGGAGAGAGAGAGAAAGAGAGAGAGAAAGAGAGAGAAAAACAATAGTTTTAGCTTTGTATACTTAGTCCTAACTAGCTCAGAGAAAAAGTAACAAAGATTTGTAATGTTTCAGGCACTAAACTGTTCTACTTGTGGATAGAGACTCAGAGACTTTAAATGTTTCCCAAACAATATCACAGTTTCACTAAGTAACAAACTAAAGTCTGTCTCATTTCAGTGTTCTTAACTACTATACCACATGGTAACTCATGAGAGAACCGAAAACTGTAATACTGCTGGGCTTTTTTTCTTTTTAAGAATTCTAGTTGAGAAATTGTTCCAAAAGTTCAAGCTAAACTCCTTCAGCGTCCCGTTCATTACAGGAAATCCACTGGCATAGACCAAGTGCACAGGCGCTAGACAGTAAGTGCATCTGAACAGAATCTAACTGACATTGAACTGAAGGGATTCTAGAAGTAGTGAGAGCTGACAAAACCTGTTTGCTCCTGACAGAACCACAAACTACCAGCAGCTCGGCAAAACTGCCCAAACAAACAGGATTCTCAGTCCTCTACACGTGTTCCTACCCCTGGAACACTCCCCACCCCTACCATGCACATCTGGCAAAATAAATATGCCTTTCTTTTAAGGCTCAACTCAAATGTCAGACCCATGACTCTTGCCTTCTCTAACTCTATTCAGGAAACAAAATTACTGCAAGGGAGTTAATATCTTTATTATACAGTTTGGAATGTGTGTGTGTGTGTGTACCGTTCTGATTAGGTAAACTCACTTATAAATGCCTTGGTTCATATAAGAGTCAGGTGCACAAGAGTACAAGTTGTTCAGATCATTCCTAGAATGAATTCAGCCTGTCTCTCTCAAAATTTGAAATATATATGCATTTTTAAAGATGTCACTACTACAAGTAAACTACATTTTTACTTGAAATGATGAGGCATTCTGCCCCTCAAGTCAGGCCAGAAGGAATGCTCATTATATTCACTTTGTACTGACATTCTAGAAAACCTTACGCATTTGAGACCCCTAAGTTACCTTAAGCCTCATTTACTTTTGAATACGAATCAATATGCAGAAGATTCATGGTGAAGTAGAAAGAACGCTGTGTTAGCAGATAGGACACCTTGATTATAGGC